CCGCGGAACGGCCCGACACCGGGCGGCCTCGGCGCGGGGCCCCCGCCCGCCTCGGTAACCAGCCGCCGGACACGGGGGCGCGGTGGGGAAGCCCCCTCCCCGCTCGGCTGCCTGCCCCCATCAGGGGCCCTCCAGAGGGCGGCCTGGCATCCCGGCGGCTCTTCGGGGTCTCTCCTGCCCTTCACTCTTTTAAGCGCTCCCTCTCTTGATCCCCACAACAGCCCTGTGAGGTAGGTCGGCCTGAGCGAGCGGGACCGGCCCGTAGGCACCCCAGGAGCCACCGTGGCTGAGAATGGATGTGAACCTGGCCTTGCCCACCCCAGGTGCATCCTTTACCCCGAGCCCCCTTTCTTGCCACTTCCAGTGGAGTGCTGCCCCCCGTATATTGAGGTAGACCTGGGGAGGGGGGTTGCTTCCCAAGGCTTTGAAAGGGTTGCCAGCAACATAGAGCTTCCCCCCGAGGGTGAGGTGGCAGCAGAGGAAGGGTTGTGCCCTGTTGATTCCCCCCCCCCCACAAGCAACCCTGCAAGGTAGTTCAGACTAAACTCAGGGGAAAGAATAGGTTGGCCCGAGGTTGTCTTGCCCTTGGAGAGGCTGGGCTTCTGCTCCCTTCCCTCCTGAGAATTTGGCGCCTGATGCTTGCAAGATTGCTTGACCCATGTTTTGCCCAGGTGGCATGATCAGGGTTGCACTCCGAAACACCCAGAGGGCACCTGTGGCATGACCTAGTTCTTACTGTTTTTCCACCCTTGTTGGAAGAGGAGGATAGCAGGAAAAAAACAGAGTAATGGTCCTGACTGTCCCAGGCATGCTTGAACGGCGATGGAGACACTGTTTCCCTGGTCATTAACGCAACCTTCATGAGGACTTTTGGAGGGGTTTTTTCCGAGTCCCGCCTTTAGCAACGTGGCTTCCAGAAGAGGGGATGTGAGAGCCACTAGTGTTTCTGAAAGACAGGTTTCCCTTCTTGCTGTGGAGCGTTAAGCCATACGAGCTGGGGCAGCTGAGCCAAGAGATGACTCAGAGCACCCCCTTGGCCCGTGATGCAATCTTGTGTGGCGGAGAGACGTCACCTTTCTTGCCTGTGCCGGGGAGGAAGGGAGAAAGTATTTCCTGGTAGTCAGAGAGTTGCTGTGAAAACAGCTCGGAGGACTCTCTTCATTCTCAAGCCACCTTTCGAATAGGCTATCACTGTGTTACCGTTTCTC